ATGTAAAAGAAAGTTGTGTTAGTTACTACTCTTATAACATAAAGACCGCCGGTCTGATTTCAACGATTTAGACAAATTCGGAATTGCCTCTTGGCAGAAAAAAAAAATCGCGTAAAAATGTGAAATTTGAACATTTTTATTTGACTTTTAAAATATACAATAGTAATGTTTTATATTGCATATTTTTTCCATTTTGACTTACTATTTTCGAATGTACATTTGTAGTGTTTTTTTTTTTAATTCTAATATGATGTGTAGGTTTTTTGGGTAGTATAAAGACATAACGGATAAAACTGTTATTTATAGATTTTATGTATTTATTCGTAATACCCAATAAATACATAAAATCTATAAATAACAATTTTATCCGTTGTCGCTTTATATGAAAATTCTAAAATCGGGAAAAATCGACAATTTTTCAATGGAATCGAATATCAAAATAATAGTACATTCTACCGACAAACTATGTAAGGACCTTAAAAATTTGCCGCAAAAAATCAGCGAACCAGTTGAAGATTCTTTTTCTTTTTTCTATATTGAAGTGTACATGTTTTTATTGGTTTGAATTCTGAATGAATAATATTAAAAATGAAATGAGGGCGTAATACGATGTTAAATGCTTTCTACTCCGGGACCTACATCGTGCTTCAGCTGGAAGATGCGAACACATTTAAACAAACAAAAATGACCGAAGAAGCGTTATGGGGTTAATTTAAAAAAGTGGACCTGCTTCTTTCATATGACAATAAATTGTCAAATGAGAACACAAAATGCAAAATACATTGGGACTGCAATCAGTCAAATACCGACTATAAAGAACGCAAAATAGAAATTCTTCCTAAACACTCAAGATACCTTTAATCGCTTTACCAGGTCATGATATGGGTCATAACCCCTGATAACGGAACAACCCGATTTCAAGTATATTCTACATTTTAACCATATTTTTCGTACTAATTTTAGCTTATGTTGATAATTTAAGAAGAAACCATCTTTGCAAAAAATTATCACGTTTTGGTATCACCATCATATGATTTAAGGTATTTTCGGGGTCTTGGCCACTTTTTTCATTTTTTTGCCCTTATTTGACATCTTTGTTTCTAAGGGGGAAGAAAACCTCTTCTTATAAATTTTTATTTTTCGGAAAAGTACGCATCTTAGTCTTGAGGCTACCTGGGGTAAAAAACCCTGGGAAAGAAAATCATCTCACAGATAATTATCCTCATAGGAATTTATTTAAGTATAGTCCCCACATTAGTATACCCCCAAGTCCACTTTCCCAATCAATGTGTGGTCAGAAAAGAAATTTTGGTAACCTATTGAATTTGTAACCCCCAAGAGAATATTGGTTGGGAACGTAGATTTGGGATGTACGTCTATATAACGTAAATTGTGGCAGAAACATGAAAAAAATACGAAAGTATAAAGTAACTTTATTGGATCTCCACCGCACAATATAAATGATAAATAATTAATGCCCATCTTACGGTAATCGGAGCAAAAGAATAATTTTTTTGGCTATTCTGACAACATTCTGCGTTCAAGTATGAGGTGGACAAAACTGAATACCACGCAGTACGGGATTTTAAACGTTGGAAATACAAATTTCAAATTATAGCTCATTTGAATGCTTTTTACAATATCAAAAATTGATCTGAATTTTGACATGGGGCTATTATAGATGTTCTTTATCATATAGGTATTTAACACTCAAATTAAAGCCTATAGCTGAAAAATTAGATCAAGCTATTCAAAATATCTAAAACCGACGGTAATTATAATTTTTGTCATGAATATTAATTTATATTTAGTCATGGAGTCATTACTCATAATCAAGTCATTACTTATGATCAAAATTGGAGTAATTATAATGGAGTCATTACTTATAATCAAAATTGTGCCGCCTAAATAAGTCAGATCTGTGATTTTTTATGCTTTAAAGACTAAAAGTACGGGCCGGCAACGCGGACCGGGCCAGCTAGTTTTTATATAAAAATGTATTTTGGTTTATTGTTTTAGGTTTTTAAAAAGTGAATAATGTACCTAATTTAAAACAAGAAAAACTTTCTCATTTTCTTAATTTTTAAAAAAGTTACAGGGCATTCATTCTCCTTGTAATTTCAGATGCTTTAGTTTTGGCCACCAGTGTATGACCTACAAAGGCCAATTTTTAAACAAATTCGTGAAAAAATGTGGCAAAAGTCATCAAAATACCGAATATCGGGAGGAACCTTTATATGGGGGCCATTCCAAAACGTGGACCGATATATTTCATTTTCAATCCCAACCATGCAGGACACAATACAACACATCAAATAATGAGGGCTGCATTGTGACTTCAACAGGCAGACGGACATCGTCAAATCGACTTAGAATGTTATGTTGATTATGAATTTATATACTTTATGGGGTCTACGACGTATATATAGGGATTTTACAAACGGAATGACAAAGTTAATATACCCTATGTAATATGGTCCGTTGTCTTAATATCGGGTTTGTTTCGTTTTGTATTTGGAGAAAATACAGAACGAAACAATTGCAAACGTTTCATATAGTTTATTTTCGTTCGCTGCCAACCATTTTGATAAACATCATTGACACCCAATATGTCTGACAGTAGGTCAAACACACTCGCCGAAACATACATATCTGAGATTGATGAGTTCTTGACAACCGAAAAGAACCACAGATTGTTCTATCCCATTGATCCGGAGTATGCATTGTCGGACAGACATATACACTGAAGTGCAAAACGCTGACTGAAACGGCGGGTTCTTGTTTCAGTTCAATCCAGAGTCATAACAAATTTTCAGCACAGAATTAACTGTATTGTTATTGGTTTATGTACCCTCCGGCATATATGAAATGGAAGATACCTTAGTTTGTCATTCCATTTGTTGCTCATCATCCAACGAGACATATACATATGTTCTTGATCAGAGTATAATTCCAATTTGAATAAGCCATGTCCGTCCGTCTTTTGTAAACACGTTAAAGTCAAAACAACCCTTGCAGGCAGGCGGTAATATCCGAATTCAATATTTTGACTATGTTTTCCTACAGCTGTCATGTAACGTTACCTCCCATATAGGCGGATTTTTCAAATAATTTTTTGAAGTATACCATAGATCTGAGCACCTAATTTTATTGAATAAAAGGAAAAAATTTCATCAAATTTTAGAATAAGTTTAGATTTGTTCAAATTCGTCACCTTTGGCACGAATTATGGCCTTCAAACGGCCAATGAAACCATCACACGCTGCCCGAATTTGTTCTGCGGTATTTTGTCCCATTTCGGCGAAGCGCTTGCTTAAGGTGATCGACACATTAGCATTTTTAGTGCCAACCTTGCTTTCAACAAGTTAAAAAGCAGTAAGTTCGGCCGGGCCGAACTTTTAATACCCTCCACCATTTGCAACGAATTTGGAAATTTTCAAAAAATAAAATCCTTAAAAAATTCTGTTAAAATTTTAAAAATACCGAATATAGCCGCTATATTGGTGTCTATACGACGTGGACCCACACAGGCATTGTTTGTCATAAGTCATCACCAAATTCTAATTCGGAACTTGAAATAAACGGTGAATAATGTAGCTAAAATCATTAAAATATCGTATTTAGGGAGGTTCCGTTATATCGGAGCTGTGCGAAGACCTGGACCAACATAGACAATTTTCCGTCATAGGCTGCAGCATCCATTACAAACTTCAAATACGAAATTCCAAACAATTTTGGTGAGTATTGTACCTAAACTCGTACCGTTATGGACTTAACCTGCCTACTGAAAAAATAAACATGTGTGCAAAATTTTAGCCACCTATCTCAATTCATTCGAAAGATAGCGTGATTACAACAGACAGACGGACAGACAGACAGACGGACGGACAGACAGACAGACGGACATCGCTAAATCGACTTAGAATTTTACGCTGATCAAGAATATATATACTTTGTTTGGTCTGATATGAGTATTTCGAGGAGTTACAAACGGAATGACAAAGTTAATATACCCTCCATAGTATGGTGGAGGGTATAAAAATACTCCAGACACAATAGTCCAACGGATTGGTATCCGGAAATTTTGGTGGCCATTGTGCGCTGGAAATGAAGCGAGGAACCTAATTTTGTATTTATTCTTGGGTTGCGCATGCTGAGTTTTTTCATTTTACCCTGTATATTTAGTTTATCAATTATTTTTTATCTCATCCAAATATTCATTTTAGACTCGACAATATATATATACTATGTTGACTTAGCCATGTTCCTCTATAGGTTGAAATCCCGCCAGCGTCCCCAACGATTTGTTATACGAAGCTTAAATTTGCGGCAGGGCTGTCTTTTATCTGTTAGTGCGAAGACATGCTACATCTGTTCCAGATATCGTACAGTTTCCATACAACAGTCTATTTAATACACGTTTTCGTATAGACCCTATTTGAATTTTGATGATTTTAGACATATCTTTAAATGGAATTAACCGAAATCTGGCACTTGGAGTTCGTAATGGATACAAATCCATCTCGAAGAAAATTGTCCAAATAGGTCTACCTTTTTCGTATATCCCAAATGTAACGGTACAACCCAAATATCCGATATTTTTACAATATTAATCCTATTCCTAATAGATTAGCTTAAAACTTAAACTTCGTAATGAGTAACAATCCCTTCGGCCGAAAGTTGAAGGTCCTACATCTCCCAAAAACAGTCACCTTTCGATATTTAGTGTCTTGATTTATTTATTTATTTATTTTACTCGGACATTTTAATGTAAGGTAATTGTGTGAAATTTGGTATATGAAGTTCGTATGAGGGTTTAATCGATACCTAATATTTCGAAATAAGTAACACCTCTCTTTTTATGGAATTCGTAGCAAAGCAGAGTCTTTTTGCACTAACGGATCTCTTGGAGATGGGTATCAGAAGATCTGCACCGTCAAACATGATTGCTATTTCCCTATTTTGATTTGCATAATAGAGGGTTTCATTTTAAATTGCAGTGTTTATGGATTCTTATTTACTTTGCAAGAAATGTGGAGTTTCTAATGATTGGCCGTTTCCTTGGTGGATTTGCAGGTGGCGGTTGTTACGTGGTTTTCCCCCTATTTATTAGTGAAATTGCCGACACCAAGTGAGTTTGAAAAAATATGAAATTAATTTAATTACAATATTCAAAAAAAAATCTTCATAAGAGAAAACTGACATTTTTTTATAAAAATAAATACAGAAACGTAATCCTTTCAGCATTCGTGGAACTCTGGCAACTATGCTCATGTTATCGGTCAATACTGGAATTCTAATTGGCTTCATTGTTTCCACTCATGTGGCATATCACATCATACCGTTCTGTATAGTGACGCTGCCGATGGTCTATCTGATTTTGGCATTTGTGTTGCCCGAAACCCCACAGCATTTACTGAGGAGGAAGAAGTATGCGGAAGCCGAAAATTCATTCAATTTTTACCAAATGTGTAATTCGGAAATCAAGCAAAACACCAGTAATCCAGCCTTTGACCAGCTAAAATCGATAATTGAAAATAGGAGCGATAGTGGATCTGTGACCTACAAGGACTTTTGTGAGTTTGATCGGCTCAAATGTGAATTGCACTTTTTGTAATCCTTTTCTTTGTATTTTTTAGTGACCAAAGATGCCCTACAGTGCTTTGCCACAGCAGCGGTTCTTCTGTTCGTCAATCAATTCAGTGGGATATTTGCATTTGTCAACTATATGTCAGACATATTTTCAAACTCTGGTTCCAGTATGGACCCAAACACCTGTACGATAATTATGGGCGTTGTACAGATTGCTGGTACTTACGCAGCCACTCTGCTCGTTGATATCTTCGGTCGTAAAATTCTGATGCTATGGTCGACCGGTGGTATGGCAGTAGGATTGGCTGCCTTTGGAGTCTTTACATTTTATGCCCAAACAATGGATCTGTCCCAGTATTCCTTTGTTCCTTTGCTGCTAATGTCATTTGTATCGTTTGTGGGGAACATGGGATTGATAGCCCTCACATTTGTTGTCTTGGTCGAAATTTTTCCCGCCAAGGTATGAACACACCTTTGCTTAAAGCCTTTATTCTGACATCACGTTTGTTTTCAGATCCGACCGATATGTGCATCAGCCTCTATGGCTATTCTAAGTTTGCTCGTCTTTGCAATGCTCAAAATATTCCCACTCTACATGGACTCCTTTGGAATATCCACCACAATGTGGTCCTGTGCGCTGGTGTGTGCCGTTAGTTACCTGTATATGCTCGTTTTTCTGAAAGAAACTAAAGGCAAATCAATGGACTCGGACTAACATTGGTACATTTGGTGACCAAGTCAAACACTATATTGAATTTATTGTAGTTTTATTCAAATGGAGTTTCGTCGAGCTGTGGCATAGAGAAAATAATAATAAATAACATAAATAGACAAAAGGATGTATAGGCGACAGAATTATTAACATTTAAGTCAAGTGACTCTATACTAGAAAACTTATAGATATTTGAAGGACTTTTTTCGAGTAATTTGCAATGACACTTTAAACATGTCCATCTGATGATGTAGTTAATAAATGAAGATTTTTTGGCATTTGAATGATGCTTAGGGGGACCAATTGTAATGGTATGAATCATAAACCAATTTTTACAGGATGAGGGCATTTCCATCACAATAGAGTGACTATCCTTGGTTTTACACAACCAATATATATATTGACCCTGTCTAATATATATATTGACCCGGCCTAATTCGGCCTAATAATAATTCTATGGTTTTTCAAGAGCTGGTCGCTCGCTTCGTGGTACAAGACAAAAAGGTCACAACGTGCGGGCTAAAGCGACAGGGAAGAGCAACGTCTCGGATTTTTAGTAAATAGGTACATATGCCTATAATCAGCAAAAAGGGTTCGGAAGGACATTTTAAAGATTAATACTAAAAGTGTACGAGAAGTACTAAAATGTTCTAAATATTTTTGCATTCGTACTTAACAAAAAGTGAACTGAGTAGGATTTTGGAAATTCCAAGATAAAACTATTGTATTTTACAAACAAGTTAAAAAGCAGGGCCGGGCCGAACTTTGAATATCCTCCATCATTCGAAACGAATTTTGAAATAAAATCCTTAAAAAATTCTGTTAATATTTTAAAAATACCGAATATAGCCGCTATATTGGTGTCTACACGACGTGGACCCACACAGGCATTGTTTGTCATAAGTCATCACCAAATTCTAATTCGGAACTTGAAATAAACGGTGAATAATGTAGCTAAAATAATTAAAATATCGTATTTAGGGAGGTTCCGTTATATCGGAGCTGTGCGAAGACCTAGACCAACATAGACAATTTTCCGTCATAGGCTGCAGCATCCATTACAAACTTCAAATACGAAATTCCAAACAATTTTGGTGAGTATTGTATCTAAACTCGTACCGTTATGGACTTAACCTGCCTACTGAAAAAATAAACATGTGTGCCAAATTTTAGTCTTCTATCCCAATTCGTTCGAATGATAGCGTGATTACAACATACAGACAGACAGACGGGCATCGCTAATTCGACTTAGAATTTTACGCTGATCAAGAATATATATACTTTGTTGGGTCTGACATGAATATTTCGAGGAGTTACAAACGGAATGACAAAGTTAATATACCCTTCATAGTATGGTGGATGGCAGGTCCACGTCTTCGTATACCCCCATATATAAGTACCTCCCTATATTCGACATTTTGACGAGTTTAGGTACAATACCCACCGATATTGTTTGAGATGTCGTATTTAAACTTCGTAATGGATGCTACAGCCTCTGGCAGAAAATTGTCTGTACCTCCTACCTCCCTATATACGATATTTTAATGATTTTAGCTACATTGTTCACCGTATATATCATGTTATCGAATTTGAATATGGTAATGGCTTTGACAAACAATGCCTTTGTAGGTCCACGTCGCATAGACCCCAATAAAACGGCTATATTCGGTATTTTTAAATTTTAAACGGAATTTTTTAAGGATTTATTTTTGAAAATTTCCAAATTCATTCCAATGGTGGAGGGTATTCAATGTTCGGCCCACCGAACTTACTGTTTATACCCTACATCACAAGGTGGTCAGGGTATTATGTCTTTGTGCATTTGTTTGTAACAGGCAAAAGTAAACGAGATAGACCCATACACCCAGAGAAAAAATGACAACATCCGTGTATGAAATGACCACATCCGTGTATGATAGTGTATCAACCACGTTTGGTGTCAAAATGAGCACGCCGTTGTCATTTTGACACCGAGATTTTGGCAACGATTTCAACAACAGATGTGCATGAAATGAGCACATACGTGGTCATTTCGAGCACGCCCCGTTGTCAGATTGTCAACGCTTCGTTGTCAGATCGTCAACGCTTCGTTGTCAGATTGTCAACGCTCCGTTGTCGGATTGTCAACGCCCGTTGTCAGATTGAAATCAATGGTGGTCATTTTTTGATATCCGTTCCTTTTCCATTTTATACCCTTAGTAGAAGAAACGAAATTTTTTGAAAAGTATTTTATTGAACGAAACCAATTACATAAATTCAATATAAATACATATTTGATTTAACAAAACAATTCGAATTACATATATTCAATGTATAGAAACAAATTAAATTAACTTAAATCTGAAATAAACTTTTCCATTATTCATAGGATATAAGTGAAATGGGTAAGTAATAAATCTAAAATTGGTATTAAAAAAATTGTATCCTCATTCAGAGAACCAACTTCATACGATTGTAAATGATAATCAAAGTTTTTTAACTTTTACTTGGTTACATAAAATGTAAACATTTTCATTTTCAATTATTAAATGTTTAATTTTGAAAAGTTCAATTGCGGCATTATTTGTTGCTAAATAATAGTTTTTTTTATACCTAGTTCCCTTAAAAAAAATGTCATCAGACACTTTGCAATTTTGGTAATTTAAAACTGGCTTACGTTTTTTGTAACAATATTCCTCTTTTGCCAAATCTTCGATGGTATGCGTATTAATGATAACATTTGGTTCTAAGTTATCTTCGTGTTTTAATAAAAAATTGGAAAATTTCAATCCAGACTTAATAGATAATGAACGACAGGGATTTACTCTTGATGTAGTATTTCCTAAATAGGCTTTTGCTTCCTTGTGTTAGCTTCGAATCTCATGCTCCAGAGATATTTAAGGGGACCACATTTTCGGATAGCAGTGGGATAGTGGACAAGAAAGTGGTGTTTCGGTTTTAACGAACCGTATAATGTTATATAAAGTGAATGGTGATCTCTAATTAATTCTTCCAATTTTATTAAATCGTCTTCTATATAACTTGGTCTTAAAAGTAAATCGATTATTTGTAATAATATTATAAACACTTTCCAGTGATCGTTGGAGAAAGGAATTAAATCACCTACCATTAAAGGTAAAAAATGAGTAAAACACATAGTTTCACTAGCTGTCATTTTTAAGTTATAGTTTTTCAATCTACATAAATCTAGTGGTCCAGATTTATTTCCCACTTCAATTTCTCCAAATTGGAATAAAGATTTTCTGCTGTTAATACAATCTAACGTAACAATATTTTCTTGAATCAGCCCGAGAATTACATTAGACATATCGTAGACACAAATGCCCTCGAAAATGTCATGCATAATATCAAAACAAAAATTTTCAGTGACATTAAAATTTGGTAAAGATTCGAAGATACACTTGTTTTTAATACCTGTTTCTTGAAAATTATTTTCCAATACATTTGAGTTGTAATTCTCTTGGTTTCTTAAACTATCTAAATGCTGAATTGCGTCGGATTGCATTTGGGACTTTTTTCTTCTACATACCCGGCAAAATCTTTTAGAGTTAAATGATTGCACGTAGCCTAAAATACTATTAACTGCTAAATTATCTCCAATAATTACACCTAAAATAAAATGCACCTTCTGAACACTTTTTTGAACACAAATTTCAACCCCTTCTTCTAGAATTTTTAACTCTTCTACAAGATTGTGAAATGAAACTTCATTTCCACGTTCTTTTAAATCCTTTGATGGTATAAACGCAGCAGTTAATATATAATCAAGTTTTGACAACAAGTGCTGTGGCATTGAAGGAAAGCTAATATAACAACCACATATGGAAAATGTATGGGTTCCAAGAGGATTATTAATTTGAAAATCATCCATGTAAAGGACATAGGGAATAACTAAATTGTACTGATATTTTAATAATTTAGTTTTATATAACTCACCGTTTGTAAAATTTTGTAAAACAGGTGAATTTAGGAATTTGTTGGAGTTTCTAATGTCAAATCTATGAGATTGGAATTTTAAAAAGGGCACTTATCATGAATTTCAGTGGCATTATATAAATATTGGATAACTTTGGACCTAAACTGGGATTTCCGCTGATAACAATTTCCGAGACTTGATTGCTAATTACATAACCTTTGGATCATCATAAAAGTTTAGTTCTTTAAAATTTTTAAAAGTCTATATTCCGTTCTAGTTTCTTCGAAAGGATTTTTACAAAAGTTTAGTAAGTACCTTAAGTCTTCATAATTTGGATGATCAGTTATATATTTTCAATTGTACATGAAAGGGATGAAAGCAGAATTGAAACAGAATGTTGTATTTCTATAACATGATTTCTTGGCATATAGCTTTGACCATGTAATTGTAAAGACAGATATAAGGTTTTCTTTTTCAAAACATTTAAATCCTTTTCTATTGTATTGTTGTTAATAACAGTTTCACTGTTTGTATAATCATTTTCTTTTGATGATGACATTTCAACTGGCACATTAATGGCTTTAACCATTGGTGGAGCTTTTGTGTGATTCTTGTGAAGTTTTTCTAAATGAATTCTGAATGACGTAAATTTTGTAAATGTTTGCTTACAGTTGTCCTGAACGCATTGTACTTTAAAAATTAGTTGACATTAAATGGTCTATTTTCAAATGAGCTATTAAAAGATTTGCCTTATCAAAATGCTTACGGCAACGAAAGCAAATATACATTTGAATTGAACTTTAATTATTGTTGCAGAAATTAATAAGTGAAGTCAAATTAACTGATTTTATATCATATACAGTATTAATTTCATAAAAATATTTTTGGATAAAAATCCATGGAATTTGGCAGGCATTTGGATATTTTAAAGAAAGTGCATGAAAAATTTTAAAACATGTATCTAAACATTCGAGGAACGATTGAAATTTTAACAAATTGTGGTTAAAAAAAACATAAAAACCTTTATATTGAAATCGGACAAACCCTCCACAATTATAAATGGCTGTATAGTTAATCCAGCATTGTAATACTTTTCAGTGACTGTATCAATTTGCCTTTTATAATCGTTAATTGTCGGTAGTCGCAGTACGAAACTTTCCTGCGAATCGGCTATTGTTACTTTTTTTCGTATTTACCGTTTCCACATTTAA